CAGACGTGAAAACAATAGGAATTCGATTCAAGTTATGAATCTTAAAATTTCTGTTCACTTCTACTTTATATAAATTAAATCCCAAACCAATGAATTGTTTGAAATTCTTTTGCATTAAATCGATCATCACTTCAGTGCATTCGTCCAACACATCGAAACAGAATTGAGAGCTCGAGTTCCCGGTGACCGCGCTCTCCCGGTCTCTGGTATACGTCCGGCATATAGTTATGGACTCAAAATATTTGCAAAAATCTTCATTTGAAATCCTAATATTGAGTGAACAAAAAGATTGAGTTTTATGTGATCATTATTTTAAGTTCTAATCAATTAATACCAAAAGTCTCGCAAACGCTCTGTTTGTGAATTCGTTGAGAAACTAGTTTTTCAAATAAATAGCATTTTAAGTGAAAACTAATTATATATTTAACACTAATGTCTAAATAATACTTCTTCTTGTGGTTGGAGGCAATGGTACACATAATACGAATGGAAGCGCTGTCTCTGGAACTGTCTTTGGAGAAAGTCTTGCGAAAACTTCCGCCCAAAGGTTTCTTGATATTTTTGATGACATAAATACAGTCATCGAGTAATCCGTAAGTGTTTTGAGGAATGGATTCCTTAAGACAAAGTCAAATATCATAAGCAAAAGTTTGCAACCATTACACAACAAGTTCTTTGTGACATACTTTGCTTTTAACACAAATGATCGCATGTTTGTCCAGTTCTTCGCTAATCATTCGGAACTGTTCCCGTTCTTTGCCATCGCATTGAAGTGCAATTGTCTCGACAGTAGCGCCCGTCATATCCATGAGAGCGTAAGTCAAACACCCATTAGAAGCCATCACTTCATAAGAGCCGTAAAGCTTTGCGTAAGCCTTGGGTTTGAATGAAACAATTGAATACAAAATGAATATATGTCCACAAAACAGATCCCGTGATGGATATAATGCCTTCTCGAGGAGTGGCACCCAAAAGACTTGTGGCGAACGACACCGACTGAAGACCAGTTGTCCATCAAAAGTGGGCAGTTTGTCGTCGACCACCACTTTGAGCCAATCACCCAAATGCCAGAAATTAAACTTCAAAATCCCGCGCAAGAAGTGACTCTCGGTTTTGGGGATCACCTGAAAGTCACACTCATGTCAGCCATTGATTCAAAGCAGACAAAGCCATCGAAACCTTAAATATGAGGCTCTTGTGAGTGGCGACGGCCAGGGAGGCGGCGATAAACCATGGGTTGGGTCCGTGGCCCACGAACTCCACCTCTTGTGCCGGTCCTAACTTCTCTCTGTAGATGAGGTTCGGAATGTCGACCAACTCTTTGGGTCTCTTCCACACAATCCTCCCGACGTCCAGTTGTGTCC